TGTTCTGATGAATATTCAGGTAGCAGAAGGAGGAAAAAAGCAGACACTTCTAGAAAGGTACATACATAAAGACTGGGTTAAAGTTTTCATGAAAGCTCAAGAAATCTATGATTCTCATATCTACATTTAAATAAACCTCAGGTACCAAATGAACTCAACCAGTAATATCTCACCACAACTAACAGGAGCGAGGCTAATGTTTTTTAAATGGGACTTGCTGTTTCTGAAAAGCATACCCTGAAATAAAAACATTTCTAGTGCACAGGAATCTTCAGGCTGAAAACGATGATCATAAATTGCACAAAACAAATCTCTATAACCTTTCCTCCTCATAGTTAATTTTATTTGGCCTAATCGCTTCATTTTTTTATGGTTTCTAATTGGAAACATAATAGGTTTCCCGGCACTGGACTATCTTATTCTACACAAACACAGTAGCAGCCAACAACCTCACACAAATTTCATTTATCTTAAGTTTTACTTGGCTCGGTTTCTAATTGCACACCTAAACTAAACAGATGACAGCTCTAATGTACCTATCAAGACAGATAAAACTCTAGGGAAGGCATCTCCTTGTGGAGAAGGAGCCACAGCAGGAAGGAAAGTTACCAACATCTCAGCAAGGCTTCTTCCACTCAGGGTAAAAGAGTTCAGCAAATTGTTCTATCAGTGAGTGCTTGATGCTGTGGTTTTTTCAAGACTGAACTGCAAACCCTTAGCTCTGTATCTAGAAATAATCCAGCTGGAACCTTTCTACCAGAAAAAAAGTAAAATCAATCTCAGCTGGATTTAAAAATCTTTAAACAACCTTTAAACATTTAGAGAAGTGGTTCTGAAACCATGGCCTACAAATACCTGAAATTCTCTGGGTTAAATTGTGAGAAGCCCAAAAGGGGTAATAATGAAAAGCAAGACTATAGCATTAAGCATAAATTTGCTATATAAAGATGCAATCCCCTGGGAGGCGGAAGAAGGAGGAGAGGAGAAAGCTGGACAGCAAAGGTTGAACAGGATTGAAAACCAGCATTTCCCATTATAGGGGAACTGGATGAGGTGATACAAATCAGCCCTCCCCGCTGCCACTGACCACAAGATATTATAAGATGTAAAGTAACAGGTTAGTATTTTAGCTAGTAGGTACTTTAACCGCATGCATTACCAAACCACATTTTGGAAAAAAAAGAAGGTAATGAGTTTTGCTTTCTAGAATAAAGCACACTCAAGAAAGAAGGTAGATGAACAGATTATCTCTTTGGGTTGCCAAACAAGAAAATATACACATTTATCTAACGTTAGCTGCTAGCCACTACATTTTCAGATGCGTATATGGAAGATTGGAAACTTCTCCCACACAAATAGGGAAGGCCTTAAACTGCCTCACAGTTCAAAAAATGAGTCAAAAGGAGCTTCTTCACTTTGCGTAGGGGTAACCTACCCTCTCCCCATTTGTCAGACAGATAACCAGTGTAATTTAATTTATTGGGCGAGAAACATATTCAGGACAAGGTAAACTTTTACATAACAAATTATCACTTAAAGCACTGCGATGAGGATTTGTTTTGATCAAGACACACATCACTGTCATGTTCCACTCAGAGTGGAGATACTCCCCTGTAATTTTTACCATGCAGAATTTCCTGTCTTTCAGTATTTTATATCAAATGCACTTATAAAGACTGTAAAAAGCTTTGAATGCAAGCTTAGGGAGATGGAAGGCCACAATCAATTCCTGTGGTCATATAAATAATTTGTGCATCTCATATGGCAGAAGGAAATCACTACACCTCATCACTGGAGTGAACCACATCACCAGATCTACACGGATTCAGACACACTGGTCATTTAAACTCTGGAGGGAGGAACTAATCCCTCACATACCATAAGCTGTACATACTGGAGGAGTGACTTGGTCCATTAATGTAATAGGTTTAACAAAAGAAAAGGCCCACCTTTTCAAACATAGCGATAGCTTTTTTGTAAATCAGCAGAATTTTACTTTACTCAAATCATTGTCAAAAAAAAAGTATCACATTCTTGATGAAATACCATCATAGTTCTCAGTTACAGTTCAAGAATGGCTCTAGTCTAACAAACAACTTCTATAAATCTAAGACAAAAGAAAGAGGACATAGAAGTCTTCAATCCACCTCCAGCTTCTTGGCAAAGAAATACACGTATTCAGCAGATCTGTATTATGCAGTCAGCTCACTGGATAGTTTGGGATTTTTTTAATTGTCCCCAACTCACAATAAACCTACACCAATGTCCAACAGAAAATGGCTGTGCTTACAAAGGAAATCAAAGCATAAGTGCATTGGCATTCTTTATTCTTTTTCAGAATCACTAATTCTTATAGATAGCTTACAGATCACAGCCCCTATTGCCTTCTCTGCAGAAATACAACCTATACATGTTAGCTCTATAATTAACCTGTTTCAGACCCATGACCTCTAGATAAGCTATTCTTCTACAATCTAAATAGGTCTCTTGCAAGGTCACAACTAAACTTATATAAGAGGGGCCCCTCCAGTCAACTCCCAAAATCTTACAACATACTGCAACAGGAAGAAAAAAATAAATCTGAACTTGGCCAGCGACTGTATTAAAATTAGACAGATTACTAAAGTGCTACATGTAATGCAATTAAATTTGTTAAAATGAGCTATATCTGTCTGTTGTTAAAGTACTATACACAGAACAAATATGAAATACTTTCACATTTTCATCAATAAACTCATTTATTATAAATACAATAAAAGACCATATTTTGCCAAACATGATTATTTGTAAGGAGTACAACAATATTAACAGCTATAGTGCAATACAGAAACTGTTCTTTGCTGAACTTGACAAACCTTTTTAGATACTCAAGGTCATAAAGGTTGTTCTTAAAAAAAAATAATCTATTTTGCCAGAGTGGAAATAAAAAATGTGGAATATACACAAAGTAGCAGCTTTAAAGTCCCCCTTTCAGTGATTTCCAGAGACGTGTGAATCTTGTTTCCTTTTGGCTACCACAGAGTTAATTGTTGCTGTAAATAAATAGCACAAGAAATGCTGCTCTGTTGGATGACTGCCAGGACATAAAAATGTGAATCTACAGTTAAGGATAAAATAATTCCAATTGCACTGCTTCCTTGCTAGTATGTTTCTATGGCAAAACATGCTTATATTCATGAAGTGGCTAGAAACTAGCATACTGCTGTTGATCACCACAAATATTACTGCTGTCCAAGTAATGCCTATGTATAATACACAAGAATGCTGTGGAACTAGATCAAAAGTAATGTGATTGCAAAGATATTTGCAATCAGTGTTCCACGGAGGATTTTCTGAGATTTACAATTGCCCGTGACTTGGTAATTCATATCTTAACAGAATACTATTGGAGATATCAAACAAAACGGTTCTAAGACAACTTAGGCAAAGCTTCAGTGCTATTTTCCAATGACATTCACAAAGAAATCACACTTTGACTTTACACATTACGTACTTCAGCATCACCGAGAACTGTAAACGGGAGGAAGTTTTGTGATTCCACAAAAACAATGGAAGAGGGAGACTGTCAGTGGAACTTAGAATGCACCTTTTTGTACCTTCAGTAATTGGCAACATCACATAATGCTCTTGGAGAAGAATGCACAGCCACTGGGATACACATACACACGGTCACTAAAATAAAGGGAGGAAAATTCATATGCAGTCAATACCTCAGTATTCAGGCAGTGCCATTTCAGAACCAGAGAAGCTTGCATCTCTTCCTTTAAACCTACCCTGTGACTTTTCAGTTTAAATGTCTTTTGTCTCCACTTCTCCTGATACTAGGAGAATATAAAATTGTTATCGCTCACAAGTACCAAACCAGCTACCGCATGGTACATGCTCCCAGGCACATTTTCACCCCAGCATCAGTGAAAGACAGCTTAAGTCCAAGTATAAGCAGCAAGATAAATCACATTTCCTGCAGGGTGAGAGCCCATTCCCTGGCTCTTACTGGGGAATAGCTGACATGCTGCAAATTCCCATTCTTCACTTAGCATTCAGCAATCTGTTTGTATACGCGTACCTTAAGTATTTGCCATTTGGCTGTATCATACTCATGCTTCACAGACTAGAAAGCAGTAAGGATCAATGCAAGTCATCCAGGTGACCTTCTCAGGCACAAGACTTTGCATTTAGTATTCCTCACACACAAGATGTAGTCAATTTTAACACCAATACAAATTAAAAAGAAAACTTATTATTGATCTGTGCTGAGAGTGTCACTTGACCTTTACAAAAATAAGCTAGTAATGACTTCTTAAAACCTAAGAGAATATCTAAAAATACTCTCTCTTATGGAAACCCTAAATACTAGGAATAGTTTCTTGTGAGACTACAGCTTTTTTGCAACTCAACTTTAGCTTTCAAAAGTTCTATATGCAACCACAAACATGCTACAGCAACAGTTTTACTGTGGAAGTACTTTTGTCTAGCTCATTTTCAAAAACTTTACAGGATTGCTCAAAATATTTCTCCTTTTTTGGGTTTAATTAATTCACCTCCAATATCGTCAAAGAGATAAGTGAAGATAAACCTCTAGGTGAAGATAAACCTCTAATGATCTTTTCAAGTTTGGTTCTGGCTAACATGACAAAAATTCCATTCAGAACAGTGGGAGACATGCCTGCTAGCAAACTAGTATTAAACATTCAAAAATGATGTGTTTATTCCATAGTATGGTGTTTTTTTTCCAAGTAAATTGCTAATCATCTTCTAAGGAAATACTATCAAAAATATAGGCCCAACATTTTAACAAACTGCAATTGTGGTAGGAAGAGAGATGTTACAGATGGAGAGATCTGTGTTCCCCCTGCTGGCTTAGCAAGTTAACTTCAAAACACTATTCCTAGAGGTAGGCATCAAGATGCTGAGGTATTAAAAGATGTTCTGCATGCCAGAGAAGAAAAACTGAAGCTTATTGTTTAAAAGAAATCACACCCATAATAGATAGTACTGACATGCTTTGACTAGGTGATCCCATGGAGACCCAAAACATGCATCAGAACCAACAACCAAACAAGACCTCCCCAGAGAGAGAAAGCATGGTAGAAGAGAAAAATCTGAAGTGTCACTTTAAACTTAACAAGGTTGGACTATAGCAAACAATTGGGGGAAGCAAGATTCAGAGTAAAGGACTCTTCACCGAAGGAAGCCAAGAACCTGCTCCCCCTCCAACACCCGTCCCTCCCTTCCTCCCCCAGCCAGCTGGGAATGTGGAGCACTGGCTGCAGCTGTTGGTGTCAGCTCAGGTCTGCGTCCTAACAAGAGCAGTTCCTCAACTAGCACTCAAGCTCTGTAAGCTTCCATGGGTTCAACTGGAGCCATTCAAAGGGATAAGCATCTGCCATTAACATTTTGTTAATGCTCTACTTGGAAATACTTTTGACAGGGCACCTGTCTAAATTAAATTGGACAGGTGCTAGTTAAAAGCAATTTATGCTAATTAAAAGCAATTTATGTTGTGCCTGGCATTCACTGAAACAGACATGGACTTTAAGGGAAATAAAGTATTCCTAGCAAGAAGCAATGAACAAATACATTTTGTCTTTGTAAGAAATTGTATTTACACATGTAGTTTTAAGTCTTCCCCCTACAAGACTACAATAGCAACAGCACTCCGGGTCACCATGAGCCAAACATAACCCGTCCCACAATCACAGAGCAAGCAGCCCTCTCGTTATGGGTTTTCTCCCCAGGTGGAGGCCAATATCAGCCTGCTCGGCCTCATGCAAAAGTAGTAAATATATGCTTAGCTTGGTATAAATACAGACCCATTCAGGAAAATTTCCTTCTTAGAACAAAATCATGACACTTGTTCATCCAACTCTAATTCGTTATAAACCTATCAAGAGGTTTCTACTGAAACTGAACTGCACTGGTGATCAAACGTCTGAGAATAATAAACGATGGAAATAACTTACAACACCTACGTCTTAACAGAACTGAAATAAGTAGCTTTACATCTGGTTACGTTCACAACCAGGGGAAAAGGTGCAACCACACACACAGCTACACCTGAAGTCCTTTCTGTTCAAAGGGACAGGAAGTATCATCTCCCATACTGCTTGACTTGATGACAGTATCTCTGGAATTCCAAGTACATCCAAAACTGGGGGAAGTTGAAAAAGTTATTAACTTGTATCTAATGTCAATGGCATACTTCTGCTAGAGAGGCGCAACTCAGAAGGCTGCAGGCAACTGACCTCAGCACGTCCCTCACAAAGCCTGCTACGATAAACCCCACAGGCCAACAACTACTCCGTGAAAAAGTACTGAAGTGACACGTTACCGGTGTTTGTACTTTTCTCACACACACCGAATTTACACTCTGCTAGTACACTGCTAAGCTCCCAGCTGGGCTCGTTAAGGGTGCGATACCTCGACACGCACAGCGGTGTTCGCATCTGCAGAGGACTTACCTCGGTGCCAGCGAGTAACTCGCCCGGCACGTCCCATCCAGCCTGACAGAGCCCACGTTCGCTACGACACCTGTAGCTGCTACTCGCCACAAGCCCCCTGACGACCCTGGGCTTAACCCCTGCACGCACGGGCGGACGGACGAAGCCCTCACGGCTGCACAGGGCGGACGGGCGAGCCGTTTCCAGCGCTCCTCACAGCACCCGCGGACACACCGCCCGGCCCCCGGAGCCGGGCAGCCCCGCGGCGGCCACCGCCACTCTCCCGCCGCGCCCAGGGTGACATGTCCCGGGGGACCCGGCGCTTCCGCCCGACCCCGACCCCGGCCCCGGCCGAGGTGGGGGTCGCGGGCGCCGCGCTTACCTGGCAGCAGGTCCGGCCTCGCCGCGTCCCTCAGGGGCAGGCGCGCAGCTACGCCATGGGCGCCGGGACGGGGACAGGAGGGGACGAGACGTGAGGGCAGCCCTCGCCGAGGCCGCCCAGCGTCAGCCGCTGCTGCCCGGCCCGCGCAGCGCGGGAGGAGGCGGACTCCGAGGAGGCGTGCGGCAGCCCGCCCGGCCCCCAGCTCGCCAGTAACCCCATCGCGGGGCTGGGCGGGGCGGGGCGGGGCCGGCGGCGGGAGGGGCCGCGCCGCCATTGGGAGAGGGGCGGGGACAGCGCCGTGACGGGCGCTTCCGCCCGCCCTACAAAGAGGGTCGAGGGGCTCGAAGCCGTGTGAGGGACTTAGAGGGGGCTCTGTAAGTTGGGGGGAGGCTGTTTAGCAGGGCCTCTTGCGATAGGACGAGGGGTGGTGGTTTTAAACTAAACCCGGTGAGATTCAGGCTGGTGCAATGAGGGTGGTAAAATCCTGGCACGGGTTGCCCAGATGAAGATGTCCCTGCTTATGGCAGGGGGCTGGAATAGATGAGCTTTGAAGGTCCTTTCCAACCCACGCTGCTGCCTGATTCGGTCAATGTCAAAGCCATTGAATTCTGGAGCAAAAAACCATCATCAAGGCAGCTGCTCTATGGATGAGGCCTTTCTACACATACCTCAGCTTAACAATAATTTTCTCCTTCAGCAAGGATAAGCTGAGAGCTCATTTCTGATACAGTCTTGCAAGACTACAAGGACTCATTTGTGCTGCTCTACTGCTCTCATTACCTAAAAACCTTTAAAAATCAAGGTAATTCTTAGTGCTACTGGAACTTTGCAAACATTAATACAGCAAAGTTCTCATCTCAATATTATCCAAAAAAGCAAATTTTCCTGCATAGGCATTGAGACCATGCTGAGACACAGAGAAATGCAAAGGACTTCCAGAATGCTTCAATAAAACTTTACTAGTTTAATGTGTTTTCTCAGGGGGGTGTCAACAGTTTTTATTGTGCTGGTCTTGTTCACTACCAATCAGGCTATTTGTCACTGAATCACCAACAATGAGTTCCTACATCTACCCAAGCAAGAGGTGTGTTAAGAGCCTTCAGGCACTATTCAGCCACTCCTGAAATGCCAGCTTGCAACCTAGAAAAAAACATTGCCACTTACTTACACTTAATTTTGATCTCTACCTATTTGGATGAGTCTTACGGAGTTCTGCTGCATGTGCCATACACCAGTAACTGGCTGGGACATGGGAAGTGCTCAGAACCCCAAGACTAAGCCTCAAAACATCTACATGATCTGTGTATGAGACCTCTAGCAAGTAAATCAAACGCTGCTGTAAAAAGCATTTAGTCTACATTAAATATTTTGGTGAATAGGCTTAAAAAACCTGCAGAAACAAGTAAAATGCAAGTTCAGACTGCTTGTTGGCAGCCTAGGGCCACTTACATAAGTTTTGATTTATTTTTAGTGTTCGAGAAGTTGTGCATGTTGGAGCATGACACACTCTTATCATTCTCAGTCTATATGTAGGATGCAAAATCTCTGCATGAGAGATATGGAGTCAGGGAAGGTCCCTTCAGCAAAAAAGAAAATTAATACTCTACAGCACTAAGTGCAACATATGTATTGCAATGCATACTGTGTGTCTGCTCTATTTCCGCTAGCCGAAATTCCAGAGTGCTGATTAAAAATGGGATTGAAACTTCAGCAAACCAATTATTTTAAATACTCAGTAAGGTCCCAGTCCTGGAAAGATTAAATTAAATATATTAGGTTTACTCAAATGAGCAGCCATGAGAGCTGTTCAAGTGTGTCAAGTCAAATGTGTGCACAAGTCTTGGCAAAATCAGATTCTTTGTACACAGATCTGAACCCAGCCAAATTGTTTTTGCTGTTTTCACTGATGTTGGTTAAGAACTGATTCTTGTCCTTGGCGCCAACTCTGTTAGGTACTGACCATCCTTGACCATAGTTCAGACTTTGCACCACTTCCTCTGGTGTCTGAAGAAGTTCAATACTCTCCAGGACATGCTCAACACTAATATGTAGTTGATGTACATGGAGTGCAAAGGCTGAAGGTATGAAAAATTGCTACATGAAAGTACAATTATATGCATGGGTTGGTTCACACAGAAACATTTCATGGCACAATAAACAAAACCACCCAATTTCCTGTTGAAAACAAGGAAAATTCCTGTAGTCTTAGCTGTGGTGTTCAATCTTTGCAGCTGTGGAACACAATTATATATGTAGTTTACATTCCTACTTACTTTTTATGTATTTGCTGATCTAGCGATTAACTTCTTGTCCCTCCTTTCCTTTTTTTTTTCAGACAGCATCAATTCTGAGTCATTAGCACTAATGCTTTTATCTGCACAGTCCCATGAAATACTTTAGGGATACTTCTGTGGGTAACAACCTTTAATTCACTATTCACACAAAATTATAAGCCAGCCTCAATTACTAACTTCACGTTATGGCCATAAAGCTCTAACCTGCACTGAAGAACCAGCTGAGTTCACATGACCCAAACCAGAAACAGCATCAATCTCGAAAAATGGCATTCAACCTGAACTATTCCTTCCCAGGGAATTTGGATACCACTCTATATTCACATAATCACAGAATAGTTTGGGTTGGAAGTGAGCCTTAAAAGTCATCTAGTCCAAGCCCCTTAGCAATGAGCAGGGTGATCTTCAACCAGATCAAGTTGCTCAGAGCCCCATCCAACCTGGCCTTAAAATGTTTCCAGGGATGGGGAATCTACCACCTCTGGGCAACCTGTGCCAGTGTTTCAACACCCTCATTGTAAAAGATGTCTTCCTTACAGCTAGTGTAAATCCACCCTCTTTCATTTTAAAACCATCACCCCTTGTCCTTTTGCTACAGGCCCTGCTAGAAAGCTTGTCTGCATCCTTCTTACAAGCTCCCTTTAGGCACTGGAAGCTGCTCTAAGGGATCCCAAGGGCATTCTCTTCTCCGGGCTGAACAAACCCAGCTCTCTCAGCCTTTCTTATTATTTTAGACCTTTACAGTAACAAGCAGCATACATACACCAGCCTTCATCAGCCTTAGATCAAAGGCCTTCACATCGCATTCTTCAAGATACACATACATCCCATATTACTCTGGGTTTACAGGAGCCTGAAGACTTGGCATTAGCCAGGTTCTTGAGTACCCAACATGCTGGATATCCAGCAAGGAGCTCAGTTTAGCACATTTACCACTGATTCAACAAATAACTTCAGGCACAAAGTTTTAAGCAGACACTACTGAAGATAATAAAGCATTACTCATAGTTAACCAGTGCTCATGTATTGAATCAAAGCCACAGCGTTCAACTTCTTGTGAAATCTAATTTCCCATAAAGTAATTTAATACATTGGAGTTTAACAACAGAATTAGTTTCTTGTTCTCAAAACTCTACCATCCTAAAACCATTATTGCCTAGGTGATTTCCAAGGGTTTAAGGAACACAGAATCCTCTCTGCCTTCTGTATTGACGCTAAACTGGGGCCTTGGGACTAAACATGGAGCTGGGGACTATGTGCTGCTATAGCTGGTACAGCACTAAATATACTTCCTGCTAATGAACATACTCTTCACTGCCACAGGTACAAGTGGGCTTTAAATAGCTACTGTAGGATGTTGGCTTCTGATGATCACTTGCCTATTTATAGCACTATTAGTACAGCACTAATTATAATTATATATTATATATATTTTATAGTATACATTATATAATAGTAATTATAATTCATGCACTATAGCACTAAAAGTACTTCACCCACCAAAAAGAAATAGAGGGTAAAAGCTCTACAAAATATTTTCAAACTGAGAATAAGAATTGGGTTAGAATTGGAGATTATAATCCTGAAAACACGGACATGCATAAGTGAGCAATTTATGCTTTCTTGTCATAAAGTATTTCAAGATCACAGAAATTACACTCAGACTTACTTTCACAAAACTCCATCTTACTTCATGCAGTGTCTAGAATCTTTTCAAGGCTAAAATACTGTGCCAGAATCAAAGATGAGAAGGACCACACTGTTCTAAAAACTGTTTGTTTGCTTTTAAACTTATGGATCATGTTCTACATTAAGCCAACACAGGTTCTGTAACCCTTGCTCCAGAAAGCATGCCAGCATCTATGCTCCTGAAATGCTAATGCCCCATCCCTGGCAGTGTTCAAGACCAGGCAGGACGAGGCCTTGGGCGATAGGGTTTAGTGTGAGGTGTCCCTGCCCATGGCAGGGGGGTTGGAACTTGATGATCTTAAGGTCCTTTCCAACCCTAACTATTACGTGATTCTATGATTCTATGATTGGTAATTTTCAATGCCCAGGAAAGAGTAAATATCCCAATTCACATTTCAAAACAGGAACGCATGAATAAGCATCCTGCAAGGGTATCATCTCGTACATAAAACTGGCTTGGAATTGGAATCAAGTACAAGGAGTGTGTTCAGATGACTGCAGTTTTTGCCAGGTGATCGATTCTGCTCCTCTCTGAGGTAAAATGCTATTATTTAAAATTAACTTTGCAATTTAATTTGAAGTGTTTTATTGTACAGCTGGAGGCAGGGAAAGGAAAGGTCTAAAAGCCTTAACTGTAAGTTGCTGAGTAGTTATGGGTTGTTATGCTGCGTCATTATAGTTATATGACTCTACCTATACAACCTTTAATATGAAGGTTCAGTTAATAAACTTAAGTCATTAAAAGCTTTTCAGGAAATAACTCATTAATACCAACTAATGAGGTAAAATTCTACACTCCTCACTGAATGATTCTGCATTCCTTGAACACCTAAAACTTCTGCCAAAGGTAAATAAATGTTAATGTTGAACTGTTCAGTTTGCCTACACTTGAAAGTTAATTTGGATTAATGCAGGGAATGAATTTCAAGTGCAGCAGCAAATCTGGAATTATTCCAAACAAAAGCCATAAAAGGTACCATGGGTTTTGACCTCAAAACTGATGCTACATATCCAATTTGAGTAACACATTCTTAAAGATTTCATATTAAAGTAAGGAAAAAGACCAAAACCCAGCATGACTAACCATCCCCTTTGTGCCTCCCATTCTCACCTGCATGCCTTGCAGAGGCTCCCCTATACCCAGCACTCCTCTTTTACTGACTGATATGCCCCTTACCCTCCTTCCAACATTCTTCTGATAAGATGTTTATAGGCCCTCAACCTAACAAGTGCAAACACAACAGACCAGAAGAGGGAGGAAAGATGGATAGATTGTATGAGAGAAGGGGAAAATCAACAAAAGATCAAACAAGAAGTATGTGAAACTAGCATACCATCAGTGCTCAATCACTTCTTTCCGGCCGGATCCCATTCCTCATATAGCATGTTGTCTGTTTACAGCCCAATCCAAAACCTAATCAAGTAGGCAGAAGTCAACAGGTGACTTTAAACTCTTCAGTTCTGGACAATAATTCATTTTATGTTTGAGCAAACAAACCTAGAAAGTAGTCACATTAAAAAAAAAAAACAAAAAAAACCCAAAAAACCCTTTAACACATACTTTCAGATTCAAGCCTATACATTAAATAACTCATATTCACCCTTGCTAATCCTTAAAATATGGAATTATACATATGACTAAAATTGCACATGTGGTTTGCAGGATCAGGTCCCCAACTGCTGGATTCTGTTTTCAAGTTTATATGGCATGCTTGTGGTTTCAAGATTATGTTATGTGATGGAATTCTTTGCAGCCAGGATGTCATAGGCTAAAATCTTCTCATGGTTATAATGGCCTAATTACTTTTTTTTTTTTATTTATGTAATATCCACAGGGTGCCAAATGTTTTACTGAAAAATACCAAGACAAAGCTGCTGTATAGAGAGTGAATAACTTCAATTAGCAAAGGTGAGTTGAAAGAAAGGAATGCAAGACAAAGTAAATGGGCACTGAAGTTTGAAACACTGTATTAACTATGTGGCTTGGATATTGGTTTAGCCTTTTGACCTTTTGTTGGCTTGTTTTTCTCTTCTTCTTCCCTTCCAATCCGATTTGATTCCAAGGACACAATCCACTGGCTCTTAACACAGAAATAGAAGGAGATTCAAATACAGCCTTCCTCAGTATGAAGCAGAGCCAAAAATCAAGCATGTAGATACACAGTCATTATCTTCAATAACATAGATTTCATCCAGCACACTAAAATGCCTGAATTAAGTCTACTTAAGCTATATTTCTATCCCAGAATAAATGAATTGGCTAAAAGTTCAGAATCTAGCTAGAAATTACAGTGAAATAAAAAAATTTCATGTAAAGTAAAAAAAAAACCCAAACCAAATCTAACAACAAAGAAAACCCCAGAAGTGCAAGTCCTTATTTTATTAAATAAAGCTACTGCTTTGTTATCAGTCTGTTTGCAAAGGGGCTTGAGGACGAGGAGGTCATGAGATGTTTATAAAGTGATACAGCAGGATATTTCTGGAGCCCAGTTTAGGTAATCACATTTTAAATTGGAACCATAGAATAAGCCTCTTTTTAGTACAGTTTGTTTCCAAAATTGCTTCCCCCCCCCCCCCAGCAAAAGTCACCCATTTAAACCTATGAGTTATATGATCTTAAATATCAACCTTTGGCAACATTTCTGGATATGGGGATCACTGATTAACGTATTGCCAGGCTCCAATTTATTTCTTGTTTGGACTGCAAAAGTTCAAGGAAGGAATTTGCTCTGTGCTCAAATTTAGAATTCCTCCTGGAGAAAACACCTCTATTTTCCTTTTGCAATGGAAATTACCAATACTACTGCAAAAGAAATGCGTGAAAGTGTTTAGTTTTGTAATTTCCTATGCGACTTACAGTTTAGATCTAGCTGTAATTACGAATTAATATAAAAGTTTTTTCTTCATATATACTGTACAGTGTTGGCTATTTCAGAGGGTATATTCTTTTGTCTTTGTGTATACGTATAAGAACTAGTCTTTTTGCAAGTGTTAAGATCTCAATTTCATCCCTCCAAGTGATCTGTAATACATTACATTCCTTATTTTGCTTTGGACTGCTACTGATTAATGCCTTATGTTGGATATTTGTTTGTTTTTCCCACATGTTAGTTCATCGTCCTTGAAATTACAATAACACATATGCCAGGGAATGTGAACTCTCAGTCTTTACTGTCCTTCACCGAGTCTGAGTGGAGATGTAATATTTGAAGGGTTTACACTTAAATTTGACATATAATTTGCTGCTGACTTACATGTCATACATTGATTCATAAAGTATCAATTATTTAGTGTAGATGTGTGTGAATTGCTATCAAAATCCATTCTTGCTTGCCATTCAAATAAGCCAGATGTAAGTCTCTTTTTCTTTCGCATATACACAGATGATCAAGAAAGGTCTTGAGAAAAGAGAGAAAGGAGGAAAAGTCACTCAGCCTCCCACCTGCTCCTTTACCAAACTCTGAGAGAAAGATTAGTCTTTCCAATTCTTGGGTCTCTTGACTGCACTAGTGAGAATGGGGCTTGTGGAGAAACGCAGTCATTCAACATGCAAGTCCACGCAGAGACGCTGAAAGCAGCTGAAAGAACCTTGAAATAAACTGATCAACACCACCAATCACAGCACAGCTCCAGAACCAAAAAATGTGAACTGTCAGTCCGCAAGCAGCCCAGAGTACATTTAACTAGCTGTATTTTCATTAATATTCCTCGCTAAGGGCCCAAACACAAGCCTTGGTAATTCTCACAGCTGCTTCTTGTAACCCGCCAAGATTCCCCAAGATTGCACAATTTACAAAGCATTGGCTGTGTTTCTGAGTTATCTGTTCCCCAGAACTGGCAATGTCAAACATGAAGGCAATAATGAGCTGAAGGACATCAGCAAATTAAGGACGTCAGAGCCAGTGCCCCCAGTGTTATCGCATGGAAATCACTTAAAAGCAAGGACAATTCAGACCTTGCTATATCACTGGACCGAGAACCTTATGTACAAAACAGGTTGCTTACACTCACCGCGTGTGAGCTGTGCATCTGCTGAACCACCTGAAGTTTGTCAGACAGACAAAAGAATTCCACACTCAGTGCTGTTGAAAACTATGGACAGAAAGAAACAATCAAAGGCAAGTTATACATTTAGCAGAGATCATAAATTTATGTATCTAGTAAATTCGCTATTCAGGCCCTTCAATTTTGCCACCACCTTAAGGATTCATTTTATCTTGAGGACTGGGAGTTCCACCTGCACCAAACTCTTTTTTCTGAGGTATTTACAGGCTGGCATGGTAGGTGTCCACCACAACAATATAAAGCTGCAGGAAGTTTCAAAGCTTATACTGAAAAATGCATGCTTTTCTGAACTAGCCAAAATGTACCTAAAAAGTTCAATTTGCAGAAGGTGTGACCAAAATTACTAAGAGAGAAACGTTATGAGCTTGCATTTTCATTTTGATACTTCATTCAGTTACTTTTTTCGGGGGGAGAGAAGCGGAAACCCCCCAGATCATTTCTATACAACATACTCTTTTTTAAAACATGGAAGGATAGCATTTACCTACTCTACAAAATTCATTGATACATCCAAGTACACAACAACAGGCAGGAGAATCTGTAAACCAGAGAGCTGTTTGTTATCTCGGATAAAGAGAACACATTTTTTCATGTTAATTAGACAGCTATATATTTAGACATCAAGATATTTGGATATCAAAAGGCAACAGAAGCAGAATAGTTAACTACATTGAAAACTGCCCTAACGTATGAGCCACAAACTATCACTATGAGGGTGAGAAAGGCCTCATGCTAAATAACATTGGCTGGCCTCCATTTGTCTCATCCCGTCTCTCCCATGAAACAGACCAACCACTTTGTTAATGAACAGTAATTAATTCCAGAAGGGACACGAGGTACAAGAGATTCCCATAACTGTTTTAAAAAGGAGCAAGGCGTGATCAGACTGCGAGTATCTCTCTACTAACAACTAGCACTGTACAATGGGAAGGGGTTTACAGAACAAAACTGTGTATGTTGAGGGTCTGATGTCTACATTAGACGCAGCTTATGGGGAGTTACTTCCAATCAATTTCAGAGTGGACGACATGTCCATTAGTTGCTGAAGCATCTTAGGTCCCAGGTCACAGTTTAATTTGGGGAGTTACTTCCAATGGGAGGTAACTTATGGGGAGTTACTTCCAATCAATTTCAGAGTGGACAACATGTCCATTAGTTGCTGAAGCATCTTAGGTCCCAGGTCACAGTTTAATTTCACCCAGGAGGAATCCTATTTGTGTACTCTAAGACTAAACCATCTTGTGAACCAAAGCCCCAAATATGGGAATGACCAGGAGGTCAATTTCCAAACCCTGCTCCTGATCCAACCTAAAATGCTGAAGTGGGAATATCCCAAATACCTCACAGAACACAATCTTAGTCTAATTGCTGTACAGGGACTCACATGGGCCAGGGAAACTAACAGACAAGAACACTGCAGGGCACTGACAGCATTAACACTTGCTGCTTGCCAAATTGATGCATCTAATACTGTTCTAAGATATTCTCACTCAAAGTGAATTCAAATTCATGAAACATTTAAAACCTCTGCTTCTAAGCATTGAAATCTGTGTTAATGCAGAGAAAAAGCTTTTTATGTAATGCTCTGTCCTTCTTTATTCTTATTGTGACTCAATGTGGTGTCCAGGCTTTGTACTGGCTCTCTGTTGGGGAGATCTTCACTGACTGTCCGTGAAGAAATTGTAGAATCCTTCTTTCCAATCCTCTTTCTCCTCTAAAACAAAACACAAATGACTTTTCCATTACGCTGGGAACCTTACATATCCATACCTGTATGTATGAGGCAGATATACCACAGGAGACACTGTCCTGTGCTTACCTTTATTTCTAGAATATTTTTACAATGAAAAAGTAAAAGCATTTAACCACAGTCCTATTTCATTGCAGGGGATGGAATTCAGATCCTGTAAGCGAAAGCAGCTGGATTCTTTGGGTCCAGTTTTCAATGTTCAGAATATAAAAGGTAGCAAAGCCTCTTTAATGCAGAAAAGATTACAAAGGTAATTTCTTAAAAGCTGCATAGTAAATCCCACATACATTCATGATAAAACAGACTTATTTAGCATAGGTATGAGAATACTTCTTTTAAAGCCAAAACCAAGAGTGTTTTCTCTGATGCAACATATTTTCTTTCACCTTATGTGTAAAAAAGTGTGAGGGCAACAAAAGAAGCCATCCCTCCAGCAGAAAGGCTAAGTTAGCAAATGTTAGGTCAAGTCTGCAAAAGACAGAAAAAAAATGACTGAGCTGCTTGCTCTCTTTGTAATTCCAAGAAATGCAGTTAATGTTTGAAAGCAATTCCTATCCTAAGTAGTAAAACTAAATCCCAGGTTGAATTTTGTGTGTTTTTGAATTTCTGTGGGTAAAAAAATCCCCAACCAACATATTCAGCAGTTTAGTTGAATTTTCTTGTTCTACATGTAGTGTTTGAAATACAGGTTTGTTGTGCTACGCAAAACTTAGTCCTTGGTAACTATTAGCATTTTATTAACAACACCTATACATATATTTTTTAGTGTAACCATGTACATCTCTCATAGGGGCATAAGCTGGGGACCATTCTTAGCCTGTACTTGTTTTCCCCATGCAGCCACACATGTGGTGAGCAGCTGTGGAAGTTGTAAAATTGTCTTTACACGCTGCACATGCTGTTGTACGCAATATGCACACACATTATGTATGAAGCAAATCCTGAAGCAAAATAATGCACTGGATAGATCTTTTTTATTTATTTTTGTAAATATTTGGCTTCCTTTAAACAGAGACAAACTTTGCTTCCTTAAATTCCTTCGACGAAATAATAGCACTTAATTATTCTGAATTGCAGGTTTGCCAGTTCTTACCACGAGCAAGTCTTTTAACCACCTCCACTATGGCAAAGAATCAAACGCTGTCAAAAACTGAATCTGCAAAGCAACCGTTTCTATGGCAGTGTGACCAGCTCCACCACAGTGAAACACAGAAATGAGAATGTAAATTGTTACTTAGGTATACATTTTCCTCCAGGGTGCTATGAGCCAAAATTGAAAACAGCTGACACTGAGTCACCCTTTTTTGATAATAAATATTGCTAATATGAATCTGATGTGTTAAAGGGTGGGGGGGAAGCTCCAGAGACCAACACTCCCCTTGTTAATATTCTACCACCAAACTGAAGGAAAGGTGGAGTGATTGCCCCATTTCTGCTGAGAGCTTATTCTGAAGGCAGTTAAATCAATCTCCACAGAGATATCTTATCTGCAAGGCTCATAAAAAATATCTGAAGAGTAAATGGTTAGCATTTGGAATGGACCACACTGCACGAAGTAACAGTTATTTCATAAGAGATTTCCCATGGTATATATATATTCCCCAACCCAGCTACGTCTTCACTCCCACACCCACCACAAGTGGTATTACTTGAATGCCGTGCTATACTATTAATATGCTCAGGGCAATTTTAAGCAACAAAGAACATCTAGCCAAGCACACTAAAAGTATACTTTATTTCTTGGTTATTATTAAAAAACAGGAAAGCAGATCCATTTAAATGAGAAACACCTCCCTCTGCTCCCATCTTTCATCTGCCAACAGATACAGATACTGCACATGGGGCTTATCACACACTAGAAAGGAAAGCCTTATACAAGCCCACTGTTCATTTAGCTATGTAAATGTGAGCAATCTTTTCTTAGGTCACCTCTTTTCCTGCTTTCTTACAGTCCTTGTAACATGTTCCAAAGAATAAGCATTATTTTGAAAACATTCAAAATTGTAAATTTTTAACGTATTCAATTTAATACATTTTGAATGTATTTTTACCAACTGTGCGCTGTGAAAATGTGCCATCACTTTAAGCTTAGTTTAAACTTAGCATGTATGAAAATACAAAGCCATCAGTTGCACGTATACACGGTTTGCAAGTCTTTCCTGCTTAAACACCATGTGTGTTTTCTGTATACACTAAAACTGGACAGATTAAACTTGAATTATTTTCCTTTCAATAATTAAAAAAAAGAGCAAAAATCAATTTAATCTGATTTATGGATCTGATTAAAGAGCTTACAAAAACTGTCAGCTAATTCGAGGAGATTCACAAAACATTTTCATTACAATATCTAATTACATTGCTCTCTCCATTTTCTGCACACTACACGTCAAAAAACTCCCAAAAGAAGACAACTTTTACAAAGTGATTTTACTTTGCTACTTTTAGTATCAACTTATGTTTGTTCTTCATTCTGGAACAGAGCATGGATTATTCTGGTATTCTGATTTAGGGCATCATCTCACCCATCTCTGCCAGTGAAGTTTTTAGGGAACTTGACCCATAATATACATCTTGTTAAGCTCCAGTTTAACCAGTTACTGATGTGTTCACCAGTAAGTTTATAAGTTGCTCCCCTCAGAGTTAATTAAACTGCTTGAGCGTCTAAGTTGTGTTGACTAAAGCTGTAACGAGGTCATGTGCCTGAAGAGATGCAGATTGGAACCCCTCACTATTTCAGTTTACATGAGTTCAGATCTCCTAGTGGTACTAACAAACAAATACTAGCCAAAGACCAAGACTCAAATGAAAATGAGACTCAGGCTGAAATAGGCAGAGAGAAAAGTACATACTATTTTGTAGGATGCCTCATTTTTTAACTTGTAGAATCCTGCGTTACTCAGCTGAGGTCCCAGTGCTGGTAGCTCTGCTTATTGGGAAATTTCACACATTATTTGACACAAGGAAGAAGGGCTGAATCAGGCCACTTTAGATTAAAGAGCCTATGAACTTTAGCATTGAAACATATGTTCACCAGACAATCTGCTCTCCAAGAACTTAGGGTTTTTTTCTTTTATCACACTAATTGTCATGTAGTTAAGCCATTCTTGACACACAGGAGAGAGATCAGACTTCTACCATAAGGATTATCCACATAGCTACTACAAGAGATACTAGAATCAGTTTCTGCAAGCATGCAGGGGCTGGCTTTTTCTCCAGCAGACATCTTGGAGAAGGGGAGGAGGGGAGAGTTGGAGAGATCCTTCAACCAAGAATGTAGCTTCCAAGAATGACTTACAGATGTCAGAGTAATGTTCTAGGATCTCTTCCTATTAGTCCAAAGCTATTATTTGTAACATATGCAGAATAAAAGCCCTTGCATAAGACTGTAAACAAACTTCCCAACTAGAATTAGCTGTGGCTCAGCCAGCTTCAGCCCTGGGGGCAGGGAGGGGCAAAGGGTGTAAAAGGGGTCTAATTTTGTAGTATTACACTCTGGTTTTCTTATGATTTTACTGTTACTTTAGAGCTGGGATGCCTCTATTATTCAGGTTCCAAATCACCACCACAGAACTACTGGAAATGACAATGATAAGGCAAGTAAAACCACACCCAGAATTACGAGAGATACTTGAATTGAGACATGCAGCAGTAATGAGAAAATATAGGAGTTTATGTTTAGAATGTATGAAATTGGCTGCCAAAAACAAGAATGAAAAAGCATAAGAAACATCCACGTTGGGCAGCTCATATATATTGAGGAGATATGATATTTAAGTGCATCCAGCTTTCATAGTAAATAGCATTATATGTCATTAATCATATTTCAGCAGTAAATGGTAAGATGCTGAACACCTCATTTACTGTGAAGCACTTTCAAGGTTTCCATTTTCATCTTCATGCTGGTTCTTACTTATCAGATGAAACTCTTAGCGTAAAGCAGGGGCACATAGAAGGGGACGTATTTCCTTTACCTTAATTGTAGTTTTTTACCTCTCAGTTTGAAAGCTTTTCTGTGGTTTTTTGCACTTTTTTTTACCAAACTAATCTTGTTGCAACCTGCTGTAATTTGGGGCAAGAAAGATGTTGTGGCAGCAGGAGTCTTATCAACATATGTGACAGGTAACTCTGTCCTTTCTGCTCCTGTTAATTCACAGCACACAAGGCTGTGAGGCAGGGAAAGCCCCTTGCATGAGTGGATACAAGGGGAACTGAAGATGCCTTGGAATCAGCAGCACTGGCCTTTCTGCGTTCAGAGATGTCAGACAAGTAACAGTATCATTTTACTTAGAGGCAAAGCATTTTGCCCAACAGTTATTACAGTTACTCTGTAATAACAAGAAGCAGCAATGCAGAAAGTGAAATGTTTCTAGCACCAAGGTTAAGCATTTTAAGACAAGTCCAACAGCTCTTGCTGGAAACTTTGCCCAACTTGAGGACTGGAACTTGACAACACTTTTAATCATAAGGGAACAATGAAAGAATTGAAAACTATTTCAAAGTAATGGAAAAGTATGTTGCATGTTCAAAATTTTACAGAGTATCTCTTTCAAAAGAGCTTCAGCAACATCATTCAATTTAGGTTTCCCATGAGCCACAAAAAAAAAGAGAATGTATTGAACAGGCCTTTATTCATATTTCATGAGCTATTGGAATTATTTATGTTCCTACATAATTCTGCTGAAAACTGCAGCTGACTGAGCACCACCTGAGAAACTTCCATATTCTGTGTAAAATCATACAGACAAGACAAGATTTCTTCATATGGTAAAACCTGCTGAGGTGCTCAGACCCTCACTTGAGGGCAATAATTGCCAGAAAGAGGCAGATTTTGCACAAAACACCAGTCTGAGATTTGTCTCAGTGTTTCATTTTTCCTGGTAGCACAGCCCATGAGCAGGCACTTATTCTGCAAGAATTCCTCAGTTCCAGCTTCTTTAAGCTGTCATAAACCTCATATTTACAAACTGCTGCAGCTGTAATGAAGCTTATTGCCATCTCTGTTCATCACATCCATCAACACATAACACTTCTCAGAATCTAACATTAATGCATGTAGTACAGTGTGTTCACAACATACCTCAAGCATCCTGTAAGACTCCACTTCAGCTCCTCTATCTATTCAACTGCTTATAAACTCGTTCACAATTATTACTGTATGTACTGTATGTAATTATGTACTGACACTTGAAAACTACTGAGATGCAATATGAAATGTTAGATCAGTTTTTTACTTGTTCATGTTTTCCTAGATCATCATTCGTAATAAACAGAAATAGAAAGGACAAAATAGAACAAATACTTCTATTAAAAATCAGTAATTGCATAAATATTATACATACGGATCTATACATCTGTAATATTTGCTCTTCATTCTAAGCAGTGCAATGTCTCAGTTATGTTAGGATTACAGAAAGGAAGAGTACTTGCCATGCTACAGCTGTAACTGCTGCCTCTGTTCTGTGGCAGCAACAAAATAAAATGCAAACATTAAAAAATGATTCTATCTCCTTTTCAGCAATTTGCAAATTCTGCAACTGTAATTCAACAAAATGTGCTTTTAAAAAGAGCAGTAAATGATTTATTATTCTACTATAAACCTACCTGTACTGTCAGCCTGAGATTTTAGCTCGATCAATATTTGATCTCTGATTCATTTTTTATTTAAGATATCATTCTAAAATATATAGTTTTATATTCCTAAATTGAACTTTGTCTCTGTTTCAGTAGTTCTCCTAGAAGAGAATACTATATATATTATAATGTATTACACACTCCTGTAAGTATAGCAGGACCTAAACTAATGTAAGATATTTGGTTTAATAAAGCAAGTTTTACCATGTTAAATCTACCCAGGACTCGTTTCTTCTTTAGTGAATAGAAAGATACAGTTCATAATTACTCAGTTTTAACTCTTGATGAGTGAAGTCAAGAGCTATGGTGCCTCATGAGAGCTGTAACAAATCCTAGGTTTGATCCAGCTCTTATTACCTTTAACAGCAGCTGAAGTGGGTTCCTTTTTTTCCCTTGGTATCTCCACTGTACTGCATGCAAACAGTCCTTTTTCATTTCTGTTCTTTTACCCTTTCACACATAATGTGTTTATTTATAATGAAGTAAAATAAATACTATTTCCTGCTCAATATAGGGATTTTTCTCAGTCACTTTTTGATGTTACTTTTTTTTATATACTTTTTAATAATTTTTAAGTTGATTAATTGGATTAATCAAATACCTGAATAAATGCAGAGCACTTCCACCTTCCACTGAATTACAGCGGTTTAAATCTACTTTAGGACTAAACCCTCAAGATGGAACATTCTTTTAGAATATATTTCCATAGGGTTATTCCATACAAGATGCGGGAAATCATGCTTGTCATGAGGGGAGAGCAGAGCAGCCATGAGGAGAGTGGGTGCAGCAGCCATGAAGGGAGATCATGAGAGGAGAGCAGGGGAGGCCATGAGGGGAAGTCATGAGGGGACAGCAGGGACAGCCATGAGGGCAAGTTGTGAAGGGACAGGAGGGGCGGCCATGAGAGGTGAGGGGAGATCATGAGGGGAGTGCTGGGGTGGTTGTGAGGGGAGATGGTGAGGTGAGATCAGGGGCAGCCATGGGCTGTGAGGGGCGGCCATGAGGAGTAGGGTTGGCAGCTATGTACTGCGGGCCACTATGAAGGGGCAGATGAAGAGTGGCTGTGACTGGAGATCATGAGGGGCAGCCATGAGGGGAGATGAGTTGTCCTTAGTGACATGGTTTAGTGGTGGGCTTGACAGTCCTGGGGTAACGGTTGGGCTCGGTGATCTTAATGGTCTTTTCCAACCTAAGTGGTTCTGTGATTCTAATATGGCTGTAATTTTATCTGCCACTCACATACCATAAGAACCTGTACAGATAACTGAAAATATACAAAGTACCTGGATGAAATATCTTCCTCCAGCATGGACGTTGTACACCTTTTATTCACAGTGAAAAGTACACAAGGTACAGTGGGATTTGCCTCTTGCAGGCAGCAAGTTTTACTGAGAGAGTGCTGAAGGGTCACGCTGTTAATGAGTCGCATCATTTCCTGCATTTAGAATATTCCAGAATTGGATGGATAAAACAGTGGATTTACGTTTGCAGGAATCACCTGGAAAAGGTATAGGAAACATGAAAATAAGTTGCAGTTTTTGTTACTCAGAGGCAGAAAAGCTGTCCAGAACAATTTGCTTTTAATGGCTCTTTTAGCTCAAAAGAGGCCCTGAAGTGAAGAATAAACAAACTGTCACAGGAACAGAGAGGAAGTCTCTTAAGATCAGGGTTAAGGTTCATTGGTACAATTGCTCTAAGGCAAAACATTACTGCACCTTGGATTAATCTTGGCATGTAGATAAATATGAAGGTACAGCAGTAATGCACATATAGTGACTTTTTTGTAACCCTTGCACATGCGATACAGCCAAAAGTGTAACACAAAATGCAGTGTCTTGTAGAAAGGAAATAGAATTCTACATAGGTTGAAACAGGGGTTTAGAAATTCAGAAAACTGGATGATAATAAACCAAAATAAATACACTGCTGTTGCAGTCTTGCACAAACTGTATGACCCTTGTTTAAGCTAAAACAGAGACTCCAGCCAGCCATTTATCTCAAAGAAATAGACAGTCTACCCAGCTACAACTTGCCTGCAGCTTCTTTTCCATCATCTAAAAAAAAGGCTCTATCAAACCCCTCTTCCCTTCTCTCTGCTCAGTAGTCACTGTCCATGAGTACGAGAGTCCATTATTTACCCCCATGTCTCTCACCCCCAGCAGCATCCCTGCCTGTCCCAGAGCTGAGTCAGTTATCAGCACACAGTCTGTGATCTCAACCCGAGTAGTCTGTTCACCTTTGCCACCTTCAGAGCAGCCCCTCTATCAATTGTTCAGCTCCAGGTGGCGGCCAAGGACAGTCCATGCTGCAAGAGTGAGACTCGGCAAGGACTTCTCGTCTCCTCCCGTGTGAGGTTCCTCATTCCCTCTCTGTGGACTGTAGCTAACGAAACACCTCACCCCACAGAGAAGTCACATACGGCCATCCTGATAAGGTGATAAACATTTGCGACTATTGAAGGACCGTTACTGTTGCAGGAGCAGAGCTGTATAAAGCTGTAGGTCCACACTGCTTATCCTTCCTTGTTTATTTGCACAACACAGCTGAAGTAGAGGATGAAGGGAGAAAAATATTCTTCCAATAGCAAGCATCTGCATCCCAGTGCAGCACTGTATTATCATTTGTCCTCCCTAGTAAATAGCTCTGGCCAGCATTATTTATTAGAGCAAGAGCAGTAACAGTCCATCAGACTCCTGGACAGGGCAGACGCCCGAGGACTGCAGTGGCCACTTACTAAGCCTCTCCATTTGCTGATACAGCGCTCCCTTCACAGGCTCCTTGGCACAGAGAGGTGGAATATTCCCACTGGCCTCAAATATTACTTCTTTTTTTCCATTATGGTATTTTAGCAACTGTTGCGCTCTCCAGGACTTCTCTGGCCTAAAACAAAGTTAGAACCAGCACTGACAATAGAGGCTCTCCCAGGCCAATTTCTAACATGATCAAACTGTTCTTAACATAATGTGCCTGTAGACACTAATAGCAAGAGCTGCTGCTGACATACACAGAAGGAGGAGGGGTTAGCAATGGAAGAAAGTCAAGAAGGCCTTGGATGAGTTTTCCACAGAAGTGGATGCACAAATGCACAGGCGGAAACAGCAGAGCAGGTTCCCTGCAGAAGGACAGAGGCTTAGGAGCAGGACCTCATGCTCATGAAATCACTCACCAGTTTGGAGCCAAGAACTTGGATATTGCAGCTGCATAGCAGCTTCTCTTCACAGAACCACTACTCTGAAGCATCAGCATCCGTATGCTCAGCTTCAAGTCACTTCATACAAGCAGCCACAGGAGCTGCTAAGTCTGGGAATGCCTAAAAATTGAAAGAGTTCTTCAGATTGCCATTACCAATGAGTCTGAGCTTCAGTAATCTTCCTTGTGACTCACATAATCTCACTACAACTATTTGAGATTTCTAAGCACATAAACACACAGATCACATTGCACACGGGTTATTCTCTCTCCATATGAACAAGCAGCTAGCAGGTTTTAAAATGGTTTGGCTTTAATTCAGTAGTTAATGATTTGGTTTGCTTTTACAATACAGTACTACATGGCTTCTGCATATGCAGAAGAGCCAAGGAACAGATTACTAAGCTTTAAAAAAGTCACAAAATGTCATAATTGCCTAAAAAACAAAGCCATATTAAGACTGTAAAACATACGGTCAGTTACCACTTAGGAAATCTCACTAAACCTATAATCCCATAAAGCCTGTGACAAATTAGCAGATGGTTGTATAGTAAAATCTAAGTACAAATTGATTAAAATTGTTCAAACCATTGTAGCCCCCCTCAGAAACGCACATCCTATGTCATTTGAATTTTGGTGTGCAGGTTGCCTCTAATTCCCCACCTGCCTTGATCCAGACCCAGGAATGAAGGGACTCTCTCTGATTGCCCATGTCAACTCCCTAAACAAGTAGACTCCTGGAAACACCTCATATAAAAATATCTCTGGGTCTACAAGTGCAGGGTTCTCAGCTCAGTCTAACTGATGGCCCCGACTACACTGGTATCCGAATGGATTTTTGACACCCCCGTCAACCTTCACTCAGCTCAACAAAATTACCCTCTTACACTGGCAGACATTTACAGCCAGTTCTACTGTGCATAGCCCTCTGACATGAAAGAAGTATCATTTGTTCAGCAATGACAGCAGTGGGGAAGCCCCTCTCCCTCCCCAAAAACCCAGTAATGACACTTGGGAAACAGCAATGTGAATAGACTCCTGTTCTAAAGAATACAGGCAGCTGATCTTCTAAAGACACTGGAACCCTGCAACTTAACTTTACTGAATTTAATCTATTCACATTCACAACTGCACATGGAACTAGGCCACAGTCCTCAAAAATAAGGAATAATGTTCCCTTGGAACTGATGTATCTGTTTTCTTTATTTACAGGACCAAGTGAGAGCAGGTTTGCCACCCACAAGATGCCAGTTCAAAAGACAACTAACCTCTGAAAATCATGGAACCATAGAACAGTGCCACACATGC